CTAGGGACGTGAGCACGATTTAAAAGTGTAGTTAATTTAGTGTCAATTAAACCTCATCGTGCAATCTATGTAAAAAAAAAATTGTGCAATGCAAAATGAATGATTAAAGAGCTTCTAGTGTGAAGCATTTGTAAATGTCCATTTTGAACTCATGTGGATAAAAATTCTGATTCCCAACTTACACTTTCTTGCCAAGTTATTAATAAGGATTCAGCTGTGCTTTTAATTTCTCCTCATCTGACAAATCGCTACAGCTGTAATAGTACTATAGCTGTAATATATCTCCCTGGAGCAGAAAGAGCAGGTGTGGTCTAGCAAAGATTTCAGAACTGTCCTGCAACTGTCCCAATCAGATATACGGTTCTCCTTAGCTGTAAGAATTTACATGATTATTCAGAAGTGTTGAATACATAATTGCTGTAATTAAAAAGTATACATTGTGTAGGAGGACAATGATGTACTTTTGATTGTCGTTGAATACAATAATGGGTCAACGAGATGATCTCGTTATTGTCCTCCACAGTAAAGTGATTGAGTGCAAAACATATTCAGGTCTTTGTGGCTGACAAGATCAAGTTAGAAAGCAAACCTATTTTATAAGCTGAACAGCAATGCTTGAAATGCCATTGTATGTCAGAGCAGGTAATGCGCTATTTGGTGCAGGTAGAAACGCTTACCTGAAGCCTCCCGTCCTCCCTTACATGCAGCCACTGAAGTAAGGTAGGGAGGCATAGAGGGCTGCCCATCAGATCTACACAGTGACAATAAAGTCACATAAAACACTATTCTTGAGCTTATGCCCCTCTTCTGAATTCTCAGTAGCTCACCACTCAGATAGGAGGAGTCAGTAGTGTCATGGTAATATCACTGGACTAGTAAGTACCGAAGCTCAAACTAATGCTCCTGAAATCTAACTTCAATTAATAAGTCTGGGGTTGAAAGCCAGTCTCAGTAAAGGTGATCGTGACAACTATTGTTGATTGCTGGAAAAACGCAACTCATTTCCTGATGTCCTTTAGGAAAAGAAGTCTTTCCTAACCTGGCCTATATATGACTCCAGACCCACGGCAATGTGTTTAACTCTTAACTGCCCTCTGAAATGGCCCAGCGAGCCACTCAGCTCATGGCCAATTAAGAATCGACAGTAAATGTTGGACATGCCAAGGACCTCCGCATCCCAATAAAGATTTTAAAAATCACTGAGTGTGGTTTGGCATGTTCCTTTAGCCTTGTTAGACATATTTTTCTGAACAGAGAATGATCATTGCAGAAAGAAACTCGAGCTCGATTCATGAATTGTTTCGGTTGAATTATTGTATTACATTCCCGGTTGTTTGAACTGAGTTCTAGCTCCAATTGTGAACGTGAGGCCGTGGAGGACTGCAGTCGCACTACAGGAAACTGGCTGAGCCATTGAGCATCCATCTATCACTATCACAGGCACAGGAACAAGAGCAGATATGAAATAGATGGGTTTTTTTTAATATGACAGCAACAGAGAAGGACCTGCCCTTATGAAGTTGCTCATTTAACCTGGCAATGGAGCGGCTGTTTAGTTTTGCCTTTTTGAAAGCTAATAGCAACCGGGAAAACCTTTTGCTATCTTCATCTCCAGGGTCCATTGGCTATGACAGCCTTGAGTGGTGGTCAAGATGATGCCTGCTCTTGACGTTCAATCCATCCATCTTTCCAAATGGAAGATACTTTTCAAATGCCTCTGTGCTTATACGGCACCCCACAATGGGTTTAATTTGACAAGTGAACAATATGATAAACAGTATTTGTTAAGCCCTGTGGTAGATGGAAAAGAGAGACAATTGGTGCACACTGACTCTATCTCTGGAGTTTGGTTATCTGCATGATGCGTTTCCAATATCTTCCGTTTTGGATAAATTATTTCATTCACTTCCCGATGGAAAATGGGCCACAGCCTGAGGATGCCTGCATTTGGGTTGCCTGTCAGAATCCAAAAAGTTATTGATGGTATTTATGACCATCATATAAGGCCTAATCTGGTGGGGGGAGAGCAGCTGTTTGTGTAAAGATAATGATTCCGTTATGAAAGTGTACACTGAGTATTTGACCACAGGAAGAAAGCCATGCACGTTAATGCTTGCTGACCTTCACAGTTCAATAATTTTATAGATATCAGTCATGTCCCACTGTGGTGGTAGAAAGACAGATGGCTGTTTGCTAATAGAATAAGGCTAATGACTCCCTCAGACCAAACTGGCTGAAAGCAGCTTGAATCTCAGCAGAGGATATATTTTGGATGCTTACGTAATGATACTGATTTTACTGTCAACTCGGCTGCAGACTGACCAACATCTCCCAAATTTCTGCGGTCTGCTACATTTTACACAGTGAGGTCAACAAAAGGATATTTCCCGAAGTAGCAGAATTAAGGTGAATGGACTGTGGACAGGGAATGACAGGACAAATAAAATTACACAGTACAAGACCAATAAGGACCCAACCCTTATGAAGAAACTCATTTATACTGGACAAAGCTGAACATTTTCAGATCTCTGCTCCTATGATGCTGCTTGGCCTGCTGTGTTCATCCAGCCCTGCACCTTGTTGTCTCTCATTTTCAGATGTGCCTTTAGAAACTTTGAACAAGACTTTCATCCTGTTTATTTAGGCTGAAGAAGGTGGTAGCAGGCCAGAATCATTTTTAGAACCATCATCTGAAACTAGCTTGATGCAATTACTAGGTACATACCTCAATTCGAGCAACCAGTGCCTTTGCTGAAAGTAGCAGAAACCTCATTAAAATATTTAAAGCAGGATTCTAAACATGCATTTTGGCTCCAATTGTAATTTTAATCTTCTGCTGGGTATCGCTGTGAACCCATCTGATGTCATTACAGGACAGATCATATCCCAGACTGAAATCTGGCTTGATAGATCACATTTTGTGTCTTTTTTTTGTTTTAAGTGAGGTGATTTCTCACTGAAACTTAAGCATGCAATGTTACAGATGGTTTTTAATAGTAAAACAGAAGTTTATTTGCAAAAGAGTTGAAGATAAAATAGAATAAATCAAACTATATAATGTGCCTTTAAAGATTTCAAAAAACATGGTAAAAATATAATCCCTTGAATCCCAAAAACATTCTTTTACAGATGCCTTAATCATGACTTTACACATCACAAAAGCACTCCTTTACAGTATTCACAGCAAACAGAATCTCCTTCTTCATCACCTTTTATGGCTTAATTTAACTGTAACTTCTACTCCCAGTCTGGAGAATTTGATAGCCTCTTCCTGGAGCCTTCATTGACTTAAGCTTAAACTTTCTCAACTTCAAATAATCCCTTCAAGGTTTTACCCAAACATTTCTGGTTTGGAACTATCACTAAACTCCTTAATCTGGCGGTTATCTACTTTTTAGCAAATCTAAACTATATTCTCCCTTTCTGAGGAGCAACTGCGTTATACATCAATCTTCTGCTCAGAGCCCTGTAGAACTTTCCAAAACTGAAATTAAAACTGAATGGTTTCTCTCCACGCCTCAGATACTTTTCCCTTAGCTTAAAAAATCACAAGCCCAGTGTCTCCTGTCAGGAAGCCTAATGTACTATACCATGTATTTTGTTCACTCGTAAACTGTCCTAATGTGAACAAAAACTGTACCCATATCAAACTTTTTTTTTAAAAAAAGCACCATGGCTGCAGAACTACAAGTTAATCATTAAACCCATCCAGACACACAGAAAACTCCACAAGTTCAGCATTCAAAAATGCAACAGGCAGCATAGTGGCATGGTGGTTAGCACTGCTGCCTCACAGCACCAGGGATCTGGGTTCGATTCAACCCTTGGGTGACTGTCTGTGTGGAGTTTGCACATTCTCCCTGTGTCTGCATGGGTTTCCTCCAGGTGCTCTGGTTTCCTCCCACAGAACAAAAATGTGCAGCTTAGAGTGGGTTGGCCATGAGCAATTGTCTATAGTGTTGAGGGGGAGATGCAGGCTAGGGTGGATTAGCCAGGGGAAATGTAGGGTTACAGGGATCGGGTAGTGGGGTGGGTTTGGGTGAGATGCACTTTGGAGGGTCAGTGTGGATTGAATGGCCTGCACCCATACTGTAGGGATTCTATGATTCTTCTATTCTAAATTCAAACTCGAATCACGGATTGAGTGGCTAAGCCCATGCACAACTCCCCACCACTGTCCAATGCACTGATGATCAAAGATCACCCTTTATGATTTCCCAAGAAGTTTATGCAATCTCCTGAAGGCAGATATGAAACCAGTTTCTATGGTCTCCTTCCATGCTGTGATCTTTCTGAGCTTCCACGAGTGGCACAATCTGAAGCCCAAAAGAGAAGGCTTGATTCCCCAGCTGACTCACAAGCCAGTCACAAATTGATCTCCCTTGTTAGGCTCCTTCTTGCACCAGTTTGTGCCTGGCAGGCAAGAGGGGCACAAGACTTTTCCCCGCGTTTAATATTGCAGCCAGTTCCCAACTACATAATGAGGACACGGTTGGCTCATTTAAACAAGGGTCTTGCCAGCTTTGTGAGGGTGTAGCATGCTATTTAATACAGCAGCGAGCAGGATCAGAACAAAGACTTGAAATAGGAACAGAAAGCTCTAGAGGAATTCAGCAATTCCAGCATGATATTTGGAGAGAGAAACATTTAATCTTTCAAGTTCTTCAGAACTGAAGAGAAGTGGAAATGTAATGGGTTTTACACCGTTGAAATATTGAGGAGCAGCTATTCAGAACGTAGAGCAGAGTCTTCAGCTCTAACTTACCAACACCTCGTGGCTAGTTTCTGTTGGAGTGGTGGGTTAAAATTCCCTCCTCGGTTTTAACTGAGTGTGTGCCAGTCCTTCTTTTGTGATAAGCCAGACATAATGGGCAAGTCACTCTAAATATTATAAGCAACTTGCAATGTCTTCATTATTCTACTGTTATTAGTGGATCCTGTAACAAATCCTATTTGCCAAGCTCCTGTTTGACTCCAGTGTCTTCTCTCTTGTCTCTCAGATGCCTGGTGAAGCCCGAGTCAATGCAGAGCCCCAACTGTCCTGGATAAATGCATTGATTGGGAGAATCTTCTGGGACTTCCTACGGGAAAAGTACTGGGCAGATCAAGTTGCTCGGAAAGTTCAGAAGAAGTTAAGCAAGATCAGGGTGAGCGCGATGGATGTTCAGAATTGTTTGATTCCTGTAAAATGAGTCAGTGAAGGATATTGCAGGCAGATGGACAATGACAGACAGGAAAAGACCCGTTCTCACACAACGGCAATGCACTGTCAAACGCAGTTTAGACAGTCCCCAGCCCCAGGCAGTAAGCATTTTCCTGCGCGAGCTAAAGAAAGCGAGGACAATGATTGCTGTATCATTGGAACTCCCTCACTATATGTACTGTGGATGAGGGAAATATGGACTTAGAAGTCATTTCACTCAAAGACAAATGGCTTACCAATGCTCACTGCTACATTATCAGGACTTATATAGTTAGTGGTAGGGCCCGGGGGAGTTTTACTGAACAGAAAGATCTAGGAGTCCCGGTACATAGTTCCTTGAAATTTGAGTCGCAGGTAGACAGGGTGGTGAAGAAGTGGCTCACTTGCCTTCATCGGTCAGAGCATTGAATATAGGAGTTGGGATGTCATGTTATGGCGGTACAAGACAGTGGTAAGGCCACATTTGGAGTACTGTGTACAATTCTGGTCGCTCTGCTCTAGGAAAGATGTTATTAAACTGAGAAGGGTGCAAAAAGGATTTACAAGGATGTTGCTGGGACTGGAAGGTTTGAGTTATAAAGAGAGGCTGGAAAGGTTGGGGCCATTTTTCCCTGGGACATAGGAGGCTGAGGGATAACCTTTATAGAGGTTTATGAATTCATGAAGGACATCGATAGGGTGAATAGCTAAGATCTTTATGCCAGGGTAGGGGAGTCCAGTAGGGAAGGCGTAGGCTTAAGGTGAGAAGGGAAAGATTTAAAAGGGACCTGAGGGGTAACTTTTTCACACAGATGGTGGCGCATATATAGAACAAGCTACCAGAGGAAGTGACAGAGGAAGGTACAATTGCAACATTTAAGAGACATTTGGACAGGTACATGGATAGGAAAGATTTTCAGGCATATAGGCCAAATCCAAGCCAAATGGGACTAGTTCAGTTTAGGAAACCTGGTCAGCATGGATGAGTTGGGCCGAAGGGTCTGATTCTGTGCTATATGACTGTGTAACCCTAATGGTTACAGACACCACATTCCCTGAGAAAACCCAAAGAAAAACATCCCACTGAGGATTAAGACTTTCAGACAAAATAACAGGAAAGAATGAAAGAAACCCTGAGTGTAATCTGAAACTCTTCAATACGTGATCAGATTCCAAATGCTGTACCGCTTGGTAAATAAGTCAACACACACAGCGTACTATTTCTCACTCAATAAACTTGCAATGATTCTCTCACATCATGAATGAAGACTCTTATCCTGCTTCAGCCATGATAAATGGAATGACTTCTGTCTGTCATGACACCTGTCGCTTTCTGAAAACTAGTTGTAAATAAATAACTGACACATGGGACCGATTTCAAAGGTGACATTTTGTTTGGGGTTCAGATTAGAGTCAAAAACTTCTGACATCCCACTCTGCAGCTTAATGCTTCATTTGCTGCCTTCACTCAGACTCCTGTTGAGTAATGATCCCTTGATATCCAGTGTTCGTGTGCAGTGCAGTCATTACCTCCAGCCTGGCTACTTACATGGGGCAACCTGGTGGCTCAGTGGTTAGCACTTCTGCCTCACAGCACCAGGGACCCAGGTTCGATTCCAGCCTTGGGGAAATGTCTGTGTGGAGTTTGCACATTGTCCCCGTGTTTGCGTGGGTTTCCTCCGGGTGCTCCAGTTTCCTCCCACAGTCCAAAGATGTGCAGGCTAGGTGGATTGGCTGTGCTAAATTACCCATAGTCCTCAGGTATGTGCTGGCTATCTGAATTAGTCATGGGAAAAATGCATTGTTACAGGGATAGGGTAGGCGCCTGGGTGGGATGCTGTTCCAAGGGGCAGTTTGGGCTTGATGGGCTGAGTGGCCATGCACCCAAACTGTAGGGATTCTATGATACAGACAAATTGCATGCAAAGTGATTCCAGTGACAAAGTGTCCACCTTGCTCAGTATATTCAAAGGCTCTGCCATCCCTGGTTGATTTATTTTTGAGCTTGGATGGGGATAGGTGATATTCATTGTCTTTGAGTCATAGACTCATATAGCATAGAAACCTTCTGTCCAACCAGTCCATGCTGACCATAATCCCAAACTCAATTAGTCCCATCTTCCTGCACTTGGCCCATATCCCTCCAAACATTTCTTATTCATGCACTTATCCAAATGTCTTTTAAATGTTGCGACTGTACTCACATCCACTACTTCTGAGGTTGTACAGGACATTGGTGAGGTCTCATCTAGAGTATTGTGTTCAGCTCTGGTCACCCTGTTATAGGCAGGATGTTATTTAACTGGAGAGGGTTCAGAAAAGATTTACCAGGCTGTTGCAGGGAATGGAGGGTTTAAGCTATAAGGAGAGACTGGAGAAGCTGGGCTTTTTTGGTTGGAAGATAGGAGGTTGAGGGGTGTCATTACAGAGGTTTATAAAATCATGAGGGGTATAGATAAGGTGAATGGCAGGTGTCTTTCCCCCAGGATGGGAAATTTCAAGAATGGGGGGCATTTTTTTTAAAGATGAGAGGAGAAAGATTTTAAAAAGACATGAGGGGCAACCTTTTTACACACAGTGGTTCATGTGTGGAATCCTCTGCCATAGTACCGTACTCTGAAAATGTGGTGTAGAGCTGTGATTGTAATTTCTATTCCTGTGTTCACTTGAGTTGTCACTTTAGCCCAGGGCAGCTTCTCATTCTCATCCTTGTTTTCAAATCCCTCAATGATCCCCTCAACCCCATCCCTGTAACTTCCTCCAGCCCTACACCCTTCTAAAGTATTTGTTATCTTCCAAATCTTAGTCAATTGTGCATTGACCAGTTCCTTGATCACATCTGTGGCAAACATGCCTTCAGCTGCCTCAGTCCTAAACTTCCCCACCACACTCTCCTTTTAAGCTACTCTTTCAGACCTCCCTCTTTGATCAAGTTTTCACTTGTCCTAACACCTTCTGAAGTGACTCGATGTTAAATTTTGTCTTATGATGCAATAAGAATGGCTTCATACATTTTACAACATTAAAATCACAATAAGAATGCAAGTTGTTGTTGATGATAAATGAAGACCTTAGATGATCACAGACTAGTCCATCAATTATATTCGATGTTATTTAAAGAAGGCCGCAAGTTAATATTTTGACTTTATGTCTGACATTAGCTGCCATATTTCATGAATGAGCTGACCCTCACAGAGTTGGACATGGGGACGCTGCTACCTGTGGTCACCCACTCTTCAAGTCCATCTGTCAACCAAAAAGGTGAGTAGGTTCAAACTGCTCATAGTTTCCAAGCAGGTAACAAGGACTGTCATTAGGGTATAGGAACAGGAGGAGGCCATTCAGCATGTGTAGCCTGCTTTTCCGTTGTAGATCACGTCTGATTATCTTTCAATGCCATATTCCCAATCTCCCATCATGTCATGAATAGCCAGAAATCCATCAAACGCTGTTTTGCATTTAATAGCTCAGAACGGGTGCAGAATTTAGCCCAGAAAGCTAATGTAACACTGGCCTCGCTATCTAGAGGACTTGGGTGTAAGGTCACAGAAGTTATTCTGCAGTTATTCCAAACTCTGCTTAGACCCCAAGTGGATGAAAGTGAGTCATTCACCTGTCACTGAGCTGTGTTGGGAAAGCTGAAAGTGAGGGCTGAATCAAACAGTTTTGGGTATATTGTTTGCTTCCTAGTGCTTAAAGAATGCCAAGTGGACTGAATTTGGGGAAATAGAATCGATGCAAAATGTGCAGGTTCTCTTACTGTTGTGGTTCATGGTGTAGAGATGGGAATTAACAGGATGCAGATGAGCCTCTGAGATATGCAGTAACCTCAGTAGTCATGTGAGAGATACTCTGCTAGAAGGTTAGGACTGAGGTATCTCTTTAATGTTAATGTGGATCTTTCTCGGTAACTGTAACACTGTTTCCTGCACTCTGCTCTGTTACCCTCATGCACATGTATATACGATCTGCCTGTATAGCATGTAAGGCAACACTTTTCACTGTACCTCAGTACATGTGACAGTAATAAATCAATCTGCTGCATGATCGTCGTCATGGTGTTAATGAATACTGCTTAAAGAAACAACCTGAGATGTTGCCTGTGCCTATCTGAACAGACAAACCCATACCAAAGCAGATAGATCTGTAAAATGAGGAGGTTTATAAGGCATGTTGTTTCTTGTATATTTGTAGACCACAGGTATCCATCTCATCACACCAAATCCCTGCTGTCTCCTGAGGTTCACAATCACCCCTGAATAAGAGTGGAGTTGAATCTAACAATTCCCACTATAGTTTATTGGATAACTGACCTTCTGTAACCTGATGCCCAACTGATTGGACAGTTAAATTGACTGTGCTATTTTGCAGCAAAGTTGGGTGTAGTGTAGATGCCTTCAACCTGGCTCTTTTTCATAATTCATTTACGGGATGAGGGTGTCGCTAGCTAGCCCGGCATTTATTGCCCCATCCCTAATTGCCCCGAGGGCAGTTAAGAGTCAACCACATTGCTGTGGGTCTGGATTCATATGTAGGCCAGACCAGGTATGGATGGCATTAGTGAACCAAATGGGGTTTTCCAACAATCAACAATGGATTCATGGTCATCATTAGACTCTTAATCCCGGATTTTTGTTGAATTCAAATTCTACCATCTGCCATGGCAAGCCCCAGAGCATTACCTGGGTCTGGATTAACAGTCCAGTGTTAATACCACTAGGCCATCACCTTCCCTCCCTTCATCTCATTCTTATATTAAAAATATTAAACAAAAATATTTCCTGATGTTTCTCACAACTCGCATTCCCACCAGGAAATATTCCAATTAGTCCCCACATCCAAATTCATCAATATAGATTGTGATATAGATTAAGGGAAGGGATGGCCTATTGCTATTATCGCTAGACTATTAATCCAGGGACCCAGATAATGCTCTAGGAACCCAGGTTTGAATCCTGCCATGGCAGATGGTGAAATTTGAATTCAATAAAACAAAAAAAAATCTGGAATCTACCTGACAATGTGGAAAATTGCCCAGATAGATCCTGTACATAAAAAGCAGGACAAATCCAACCCGGCCAATTAGCCTCATCAGTCTACCATCAACCATCAGTAAAGTGATGGAAGGTGTCAGTAACAGCGCTATCAAGCAGCACCTGCTCAGCAATAACCTGCTCAGTGACGCCCAGTTTGGGTTCCGCCAGGGCCTCTCAGCTCCTGATTTCATTACAGCCTTGGTTCAAACATGGACAAAAGAGCTGAATTCCAGAGGTGAGGTGAGAGTGACAGCCCTTGATAGCAAAACTGCATTCGACTGAATGTGGCATCAAGGAGCCCTAGCAAAACTGGAATCAATGGGTATCAGGGCCATCACTCCACTGGTTGGAGTCATACCCAACACATAGGAAGATGGTCGTGGTTGTGGGAGGTCATTCATCTCAGCTCCAGGACATCTCTGCAGGAGTTCCTCAGGGTAGTGTCCTAGGCCCAACCATCTTCAGCTGCTTCATCAGTGACCTTCCCTCCATCATAAGGTCAGAAGTGGGGATGTTCGCTGATGATTGCATAATGTTCAGCACCATTCATGACTCCTCAGATACTGAAGCAGTCCATGTTCACATGCAACAAGATCTGGACAATATCCAGGCTTGGGCTGACAGGTGGCAAGTGACATTTGTGCCATACAAATGCCAGGCTATGACCATCACCAATAAGAGACAATCTAACCACCACCCCTTGACATTCAATGGTGTTACCATCGCTGAATCCCCCTCTATCAACATCCTGGGGGTTACCATTGACCAGAAACTCAACTGGTCTCACCACATGAACACAGTGGCTACAAGAGCAGGCCAGAGATTAGGAATATTCCAGCAAGTAACTTACCTCCTGACTCCTCAAGTCAGGAGTGTGATGGAATACTCCCCACTTGCCTGGATGAGTGTAGCCCCATAACACTCAAGAAGCGTGGCATCATCCAGGACAAAGCAGCCGCTTGATTGGCACTGCATCCTCAAGCTTCCATTATCCCCACCACCGACGCTCACCGATAGCAACAGTGTGTACTATCTACAAGATGCACTGCAGAAATTCACCAAAGATCCTCAGGTAGCATCTTCCAAACCCACAACCACTCCCATCCAGAAGGTCGAGGATAGCAGACATATGGGAACGCCACCCCCGTCAAGTTCCCCTCCAAGCCACTCACCATCCTGACTTGGAAATATATCGCCGTTCCTTCATTATCACTGGTTCCAAATCCTGGAATTCCCTCCCTAATGGCATTGTGGGTCAACCCACAGCAGGTGGACTGCAGCGGTTCAAGAAGGCAGCTCACCACCACCTTCTCAAGGACAATAAATATCAAGGATGGGCAATAAATACTGGCCCAACCAACAATGCCCACATCCCCCAAAATGAATTTTAAAAAAAGCTGGACCCAAGTGCTAATTCTTGTAGGTTCCCACTAATTGCAACCTTCCATATTGACGAGAATCCATGATCCATGCCTGTTAACCGACCCTCAATTAATTGCTAGAATATTCAATCCCATGAATTTTAATTTGTTTACTAACCTCTTCAGTGGCACTTTGTCAAAAGGTTTCTGAAAATCTAAATACGCCACATCTACTGATTTCTTCTTATCAACTTCGCAATTAACATAATTAAAGAACCTACATAAATCCATGTTGACTCTATACAATCAGACTTTTACTTTGTAAATGTCCAGTAGTCTAATCCTTTATAATAGATTCTAGAATGGATTCTCTTTGTGTGAACATGTCATCTACAATGGCATCTTCCACTCAGTGGTGTTGCTGTTGAGAAACAGCTAGAAGTGAATGTAAGAACGGTATAATAAGTTTACATAAACAGATTCTGTTTTCAATGAACACATGTGGGGTTTGCATGTATTCACACAAGTCACTTATCCCCTGAACCCTTTGACATCCTGAGGAATATGACTACCTAGCCCAGAGCATTCCTAAATTGTAAATTATGAGTTGGGTTAACATGCTCAACTTTTCTAAAATGGCATCAGCCTGCAGCTTATTTTCACTTCAGCTGGTTGCATGTTGATTGAGTGTAATCAGGGATGAAAATAGGTTGGTTTTTCTTTGCATTTCCCACATACGCAGTAAGTTGTACTTAACTGAATTAGGCAAAAGATTCATCTGAATCTACAGCTCGGATATGGGGGTCCTTTCCATCTGTGATCTAGTTACACTGAAAAGACCCTCATGCCCCCCAGTGTTTCCTCAGTTTGGTGAATGGTATCTTGGATGGCTTTATCAAATGGTGGAGAATGGAGTGGGGATAAAAAAGCTACAAAGTGACGTGCATGTTATAAACCTGATCAGGAATGGAAAGGGCTTGTGCCCTCATTAGAAGCTAGCTGTCCTGCAGAATAAACTCTTGACTGTGACATTCCCACCAATGCATCAGTGAGCCATGATATATCTCAATTAAAACCTATGGGGTGTGGGGGTAGGGAAGGAGAAGGAGAGGGAAGCAAGGACCACAAGGTTGGGTCCTCTTGCGGTGTAGTTGTAGTGTCTGAACCCCTGGACTGGGAGGTCCTGGTTCAAGTCCCACCTGCTCCAGAAGTGTGTGGTAACATCTCTGAACAGATTGAGTAGAGAAATAGGTTAAATAAAAAAATGTTAAGAACTACAGGGTAGGGAGAGGTAACTCCCAGTCATAATGTCTGAGCTCAGAGGTTGGGTAATTCAAGGTTCCTCTCGTTTCCAAATAAAAACAATCACAGCAAAGTCTTTGATACTATACATTGATGAAACGGTTAGAAGTTGGCAGATAGGGAGGCACTGGTCTTGTCCATGTAGCACAGTGACACCCCCAGAAAACTGTAAAAGAAACATGATGATCGGATAAATTTCAAATCGGCTGTTTCTCCTGTCAATTAGTAAACCTGTCTGATTTTCATTTTCAAGTCAATGGTGTAAAACGTGCAGTGGGAACTTTAAAAAGTCAACAAAACTCTCGTCAACCACATCAACGTGCCCATTGACAAACTGGTGAAGACACATGTTCACCGTAATGTGATTATTTATTCACCCAGAAACAATGGAAGTATCAGTGAGATGTATAATATAATAACAGCTCAACTAACAGTCCTAGATAGGCTTTGCCAAGCACCAGGCCTGTCTGTAGGCTCTAACAATTAGGAGCAGAGAAGACTGAGGGGCATCATGATTGAGGTATGTAAGGTTATGAGGGGCATGGACGGGGTGAATAGAGAGCAGCTGTTCCCCTTAGTTGCGGGGTCAATCATGAGGGGACACAGTTTTCAGGTACAGGGCAGGAGATTCAGAGGGGATTTGGGAAAATAGTTTTTCATTCAGGATGGTGGGAGTCTGGAATGCAGTGCCTGGGAAGGTAGTGGAGGCCGGAAACCTTACAACCTTTAAAAAAATTTTGGATGAGCACTTGAAATGTCATAACATTCAAAGATATGGGACAAGTGCAGGAAATTGGGATTAGCGCACTTTTAGTGGTAGTTATGTCAGTGCAGACTTGATGGGCCGAAGAGCCTTTTCTGCGACGTATGAATCTATGAATTAAAGATTAATCTCCTGGACACCGAGGTGAGTAACTCTGGAAATAAGGCCTAAAACCTTTTTTTTAAATTTCATGTAAATCTTTTAGTTTGCTAGTTGTACAACCTTTGAGAACGGGAGTAGGGTGATGATCCGGTAGTTAATGATACAGGAGGTTCAATGAGTGAGGGGTGTCTTCTCAAAAAAGCCACCAGTGGGGATGAGGGCCATCAGAGGATGTGCTGAAATCTCCAGGAGTACCCCGATCAGTGTTGGCGACGCAAATTCAGGAGGAGATTTGAAGAATCCTTCATGGAGATTCTGCCACGCCAGATGAAATTTGGGTATATGTTTCTTATGTTGCTCTTTCCTTTCACAGGCCTATGGGTGGATTTGGAAATTGAGTACCATGGGGCTTTGCAGATGACACTGGAAACCAAAATGAACCTGTGCAAGTTGGGGAAGGAGTCGATGCCAGAGGGAGCCCGACTGACTGACACGAGAACAGAGCAGTAAGCAGGCTGATGTTTTATACCTGATGTTATCCTGACTAGAAATCTCAACAACTTGGAAGTTAAACTGATATCTGAATGCTTGCAAGCTCAGACGCTTATTTTGATACTAGCCAGTTCTGGTCGCCCAGTTATAGGAGGGATATTATAGGAGGGTTCAGAGCAGATTTACCAGGATGTTGTCAGGTATGGAAGGTTTGAGTTGTAAAGAAAGGATGGATAGTCTGAGTCATTTTTCACTAGAGCGTAGGAGGTTGAGAGGTGACCTTATAGAAATTTATAAAATCATGAAGAATATAGCTAGGGTCAGTGGTAGGTGTCTTTTCCTTAGGATGGGGGATTTCAAGACTAGCGGGCACATTTTTAAGGTGAGAGGAGAGAGATTTAAAAAAGACATGAGAGGCAAATTTTCCTCACATTGGGCAGTTCGCATGTGGAATGAACTTCCTGAGAAAGAGGTGGATGTGGGCACAGTTACAACGTTTAAAAGACATTTGGATAATTACATGAATAAGAAAGGTTTGGAGGGATATGGGCCGGGATCAGGCCGGTGGGATTAGTTTATTTTGGGATTGTGGTCGACATGGACTGGTTGGATCATAGGGTCTGTTTCCAACTCTATATGGAATAGACACTGCAAGTGCTAGAGAATTTCATCGTGTCTGGCAGAAGAGAGCGAAGCCGAGTTAATGTTACAGGTCGATGACCTTTCATCAAAAGTTCTAAAGAAAAATCATTGACGTGAAAATTTATCTCCGTCTCTCTCTGCACAGATCCTGCCAGAGTTGCTGAGTTTCTCCAGTTTTTTATTGCTGATAGGTCATGCCCTACTCATGGGGAGGTAGTGGTCTCACAGTAATGCCACTGGACTAGTAATCCAGAGTTTCAGGCCAATGTTCTGGGGGTATAGGTACAAATCACAACATAGCAGATGGTGAAATTTGAGTTCAGCAAAATAAATTTGAACAAAAGGCTTGTTCAATGGTGACCATGTGTCATAACAACCTATCTAGTTCTCTAGCCTTCCTTTTATTAACTCAATCTATACTTCCCACTGCCATTTCTGAAGAAGGGTCTAGGCCCGAAACGTCAGCCTTCCTGCTCCTTTGATGCTGCTTGGCCTGCTGTGTTCATCTAGCTCTACACCTTGTTATCTAAGGCTTTTTTTTTTGTTAGTTTTTGTATGAACTCCTTGAATAAGGACAACTGAGGATTTCTATTTCTGGTTCACGTCCACTTCTCTCCTGCACACACACTGGAGCACTAATACTTTCTATAAGCTCCTACCATCCACATCCAAGCAAAGTTATCTTCTCCGTCACATGAGTAGGTGTGTCCACACATGATTGCTCCCCCCAAGGCGGTGTAAAGCTGGACACTTCAATGACATCCTGCAAAGTCTTCTACAGTCCCCTCACGACATACCTTCTAGCAGCAATGCTACAAGCACTGGGATCGGACTGTGTAGGACCACTGTGGACAAACCAGCCATGAGATGGGTAGGAAGGCAGGATGTGAGGGTGGTTAGTTGAATTCAGTACGCGATACTGATTAATTTGTTCCATAAGGGTGGTTTGGAGTGGTTGCTTCTGGGATGCAGAGCATGAACCACGCATGAAGCAGATAAAGCTCTTTGTGATCAGTTGGTTGTTCAAATACCGAGTGAACAGTGAACTGGCACAGAATGGGGGTGTCATAGTTGCGATCAGGATAGCAGGCATTCACATGTAGACTGTGATAAACAGTAATCTTAGTGGTTCTGGTACATGTTGACAATGAGATGCAGCACTTACACCAAAAGGATCCCTACAACATATGGAAGCTTTCTATCCTGGTAAAGCAACATCACACACAACCTACTTCTCTCTGATCAAACAGAACATAATGAACTGCCTTATCCTTGTACAAACCTATTGCCTCTCCATTGCAACGTCGGATGCCAGATTACTAGATTTACAGGCTACAAATGCTCCATCATGTTGTGTGGCACTATCACCATGCTAAGTAGACAGACTATGAACAGAGCTGGCAGCTCAAGACTGGGTATCAATGAAGCACGGTGGGACATCAACAGCAGCAGAATTGTACTCCAGCACAATCTGTAACCCCGTGGCCTGGCATATCCCCCACTCAACCATTACCATCCAGCCGGGGGATCAACCCTGGTTCAATGGAGAGTGCAGGAGGGCATACCAGGAGCAGCACCAGGCATACCTGAAGATGAGGTATCCAGCTGGGAAGCCAACAAACAACATAAGCAGCAAGTGGTAGGCAGAGCCAAGCGATCCCATAACCAACGGATCAGATCTAAGCTCTGCAGTCCTGCCACATCCAGCCGTGAATGGTGGTGGACAATTAAACAACTCACTGGAGGAGGCGGCTCCACAAATATCCTCATCCTCAATGATGGAAGAGCCCAGCACATCAGTGTAAAAGTTAAGGCTGAAGCTTTCGCAGCAACTTTCAGCCAGAAGTGCCGAGTGGATGATCTGTCACGGCCTCCTCCAGTGGTCCCCGGCATCACAGATACCAGTCTTCAGCCAATTCGATTCACTCCACGTGATATGAAGAAACAGTTGGAGACACTGGATACTGCAAAGGCTACGGGCCCTGACAACATTACGGCAATAGTACTGAAGACTTGTGCTCCAGAACTTGCCGCTCCCTTAGCCAAGCTGTTCCAGTACAGTTACAACCCTGGTATCTACCTGACAATGTGGAAAATTGCCCAGGCATGTCCTGTACATAAAAAGCAGGACAAAGCCAACCCGGCCAGTTAACCCCATCAGCCTACTGTTGATCATCAGTAAAGTGATGGAAGGTGTCATCAACAGTGCTATCAAGCAGCGCCTGCTCAGCAATAACCTGCTCAGTGACACCCAGGGCCACTCAGCTCCTGACCTCATTACAGCCTTGGTTCAAACATGGACAAAAGAGCTGAATTCCAGAGGTGAAGTGAGAGTGACAGCCCTTGGCATCAAGGCAGCATTCGACCGAATGTGGCATCAAGAAGTCCTCACAAAACTGGAATTAATGGATATTGGGGGAAAACTGTCCATTGGTTGGAGTAATACCTGGCACATAGGAAGATGGCTGTGTTGATCGGAAGTCAGTCATCTCAACTTGAGGACATCTCTGCAGGAGTTCCTCAGGGTAGTGTCCTAGGCCCAACCATCTTCAGCTGCTTCATCAATGACCTTTCTTCCATGTTTGCCAATGATTGCACAATGCTCAGCACCATTTCTGACTCCTCAGACACTGAAACAATCCAAGTTCAATTGCAACAAGATCTGGTCAACATCCAGGCTTTGGCTGAGAAGTGACAAATAACATTTGCGCCACAGAAATGCAGAACGATGAATATCTCCAGCAAGGGACAACCTAATAACCCCTGAATCCCCACTATCAACATCATGGGGATTACCATTGACCAGAAACTCAAGTGGACTCACCACATAAACACAGTGGCTTCAAGAGCAGGTCAGAGGTTAGGAATCCTGCAGCAAGTAACTCATGTCTTGACTCAATGAAGTCTGTCCATCATCAAGGCACAAGTTAGGAATGTGATGGAATACTCCCCACTTGCCTGGATGAAGACACCATCCAGGACAAAGCAGCCTATTTGATTGGCATCACATCCATAAACATCCTCTCCATCCACCACTGATGCTCAGTAGCAGCAGTTTATACTGCCTACAAGAAGCACTGTAAAAATTCACCAAAAATCCTTGGTTAGTACCTTCCAAACCCACGACCACTTCCATCTTTAAGGACAAGGGCAGCAGATACATGGGAACGCCACCACTTGCACATTCCCCTCCAAGCGACACACCATCCTGACTTAGAAATATATCGCTGTAGCTTCACTGTCGCTGGGTCAAAATCCCTAAGGGCATTGTTGGCCTGCTACAGCATGTGGACTGCAGCGGTTCAAGAAGGCAGCTCATCACCACCTTCGTGAGGGCAACTAGGGACGGGCAATAAATTCTGGCCCAGCCAGCAACGCTCACGTCCCATGAGTGAATAAAAAAGTCTGCAAGGATCCCAATACAAGGAGATTCTGAGCAATAGGCAGCTATTGGCAATGCTGCGCTCGCTTTGTTCTCATGCTGCAGGTCAGGTTCCAACACGTGGCATCATTCCACGCGCGCCTCCTTTCATAAAGCACAAATTTACTGCTCCCGGCTTATGGGGTGGTCGGAGAAATCCCTGTGGTGGATCCTAGGTGGACAAAAGCTTCTACTGACAGTCCTTCAGCCCCTGTGAACAGCCTGTCCTCCTCTCTATGTCAACGATGAATGAGGAAAAGATCCATTTTGCAATTGCTATTTATACCCAGAGATAACAAGGTGTAGAGCTGGATGAACACAG